CATAGAAGCCAACATTACGTCACTGTTTGACGTCAGTTCGCGACACAGATAACTTTGAGAGGATCAAAAGAAAATGTTAAATCTTGTTACTATGTTCAGCCCTGGAATGATATTTATTTTTTTTCACCTCGATTTGTTTTGATTTAAAACTCGGAATAAACGATATTCTTAAACGAGATTTTTTGTCATAAACGATATTCTTAAACGAGATTTTTTTGTCATAAACGATATTCTTAAACGAGATTTTTTTGTCATAAACGATATTCTGAAACGAGATTTTTTGTCATAAACGATATTCTTAAACGAGATTTTTTTGTCATAAACGATATTCTGAAACGAGATTTTTTGTCATAAACGATATTCTTAAACGAGATTTTTTGTCATAAACGATATTCTTAAACGAGATTTTTTTGTCATAAACGATATTCTGAAACGAGATTTTTTGTCATAAACGATATTCTTAAACGAGATTTTTTGTCATAAACGATATTCTTTTTGGAAATGCCAACGAGGATAAAATTCATATAGGAGAAGGAAAGAAAAGAAGGAAGAAGAAGAAGAAGAAAATAAAGAAGACTAGGAGGGCGAGGAGGAAAAGGGGAAGAGGAAGAAATCGCAGATGAAGGAAAAGAAGAAGAGAAAGAAGCAGAAGAAGAAGAAGAGAAAGAAGAAGAAGACGAAGAAAAAGGAGAAGAAGGAGAAGGAGAAGAAGACGACGGAGAGAAGCAGGAAGAGGAGGAAAAGGAAGAAGAAGAACAAGAAAAGGGAGAAGAGGAAAAAGAGATGGAGGAAGAAGGAGAGGAGGAAGAGGGGAGGAGGAGGAGGAGGAAGAAGAGAAAGAAGAGAAAAACAACAACAAACCAAATGTAATGATACCCCCCCCCCCAAAAAAAAAGAAAGACGACCCCCCCCCCCCCAAAAAAAAAAGGCGAAGAAACAAACAAACAACAACAACAGCAAAAACCGAAGCCGATCTCCGTTTTATCGAATATCTCGCTGTTGTGACAAGGTCGTGATACCGATGTCGCCTGCACTCAGGACCCGAGGAGGCTGTGATGGGTGAGGATTACGTAATGGGGGGGATGGGGGGGGGAGCTGGAGGGTGAGGGTGATGAGGAAGAGGAGGAGGAGGAGGAGGAGGAGGAGGAGGAGGAGGAGGAGGAGGAGGAGGAGGAGAAGGATGGTGAGGAAGAGGAGGAGGAGGAGGAGCTGGAGAGTGATGATGATGATGAGGAAGAGGAGGAGGAGGAGGAGCTGGAGGGTGATGGTGATGATGAGGAAGAGGAGGAGGAGGAGGAGCTGGAGGGTGATGGTGATGATGAGGAAGAGGAGGAAGAGGAGGAGGAGGAGGAGCTGGAGGGTGATGGTGATGAGAAAGAGAAGTGAGGTGATGATGAAGATGATGATGATGATGAAGAGGAGGAGGAAGAAGGTATTGATGAGGATGAGCAGGATGAGGAGGAGTAGGAAGGTGATGGTGATTTTGATGATGATGAGGAGGGGGAAGAAAAGGAGGAAGGTGATGATTTTGACACGGAAGAGGAAGAGGTAAAGGAGACTGGTAATGATGAGGAGGAGGAGGAGCAGAAGGAAGAAGACGAGGAGGACGAGGAAGATGATAATGATGATGAGGAGGAGGGGGAGGAAGAGGAGGAGGAAGAGGAGGAAGAGAAGGAGGAGGAAGAAGAGGAAGAGGAAAGTGATGATAATTACGAAGAGGAGGAGGAGGAGGAAGAGGAAGAGGAAAGTGATGATAATTATGAAGAGGGGGAGGAGGAGGAAGAGGAAGTTGATGATGATAATGATAATAATAATGATAATGATAATGATGATGAAGACGACGACGACGACTACGATGATGATGATGACAATAGAACATGTTATGAAGACAGTTGTATGAGTCACGAAAGATAATGATAATGAATAAACAGATTAGCAAATGGCAGAATTAGCAAGATAATGAAAATAATAATAATAAAAAAAATACAAAGATTAATTTCGATAATTATAGCATAATAAGTATAAAAAGAATATGATGGACGAAAGAAGAAAGAAATTTTAAGTTCATTTAACCTAAAAATATCAGTAAATGAATGATACACGATGTAATGAATGAAGGAATACAAATTAGCTGTTGAACCGACTTGAACATGTGGTTTTATTTTAGCACGGCGGCATGTCGGGGAATTCTCACATGAATAATGAACTGCGAGAACATTAATTCATCTTGTTAAAGAGCTTGGATTCAAAAAAAAAAAAAAAAAAAAAAAAAAAAAAAAAACAGTGTAACACACAAACAAACACATATGATGATATTCGTGGATGTAGTGTTTATCTGCCTCTTGTTTTGTATCTATTATTTTTGTGGTCTTTATCTCTTTCTGCCTCTCTCTCTCTTTCTCTCTCTATCTCTCTCTGCGTCTCTCTCTCTAACTCTCCCTCTCTCTCATTCTCTCTCATTCTGTCTCATTCTCTCTCTCTCTCTCTCTCTCTCTCTCTCTCTCTCTCTCTCTCTCTCTCTCTCTCTCTCTCTCTCCTCTCTCTCTCTCTCTCTCTCTCCCTCTTCCTCTCTCTCATTCTCTCTCATTCTCTCTCTCTATCTCTCTCTATCTCTCTCTACATACATACATGCATACACAAAC